AGCACTAATGTTATTGTTGTTATGGTCACGCTAGGCTCAGGACTCTTCAATCCAGAGAGCTTAATGGATGCTGGCAATGCAGCATCCTATTCCCAATTTTCATACTGCACTATGGCCTGTTAAAGATGCACGTAAGCATGGATCCAAACACCAGCGCATACTTTCATAGGAGAATGTCCCTTCACATAGGCACTGTGGCCTTCTGTAGAGGAGCCCTATCGATGAGTGCCCAGAGCACCACGGATTCAGGAAAAGTCTTAATGACAAGCGTAACCTCAGGCAAGCAAGAGAAATCAATGAAGCTGCTCCTGAAATTGAGCATGTTCTGTAAGTGTCTTGCCAAACAAGGGCTTGAAAAAGCTTCAGATACCTTGTTTTTAACACAGAAGGATGCCTGATTTTCCCACAGTGGGTTTTCCCCGCCTCTCATGAGTACCTCGGGGCACTAAAATGTTTATGGGGATCCTGTACCTTGCAGAATGCAAAACCAGGAGCAGAGCTGCTGAAGCAGTAGTAGAAAACACTCATGGGTTTATCCAAAGGCCTGACAAAAGAATCAACATTATGAAGCTGGGGATGTGTAAAGAAACAGGTCACAGTAGAACAGCAGGAAGAAGCAGCAGTACGTTGCCAAATTTGCTTTTTTCTTTATTTTAGCAAACGGATGACCAAAAGTGCTGACCATGACATTACAGTAAGCAGAACTCAATGAGATTTCTCTATAGCACCATAGTTGTTGGGCAGCCTGCATGTATGTTTTAAAACTGCCATGGTATTGTAAGCTGGTGGCAAATTTCATGCTGATCTCCAGGGGTGCTGGGTCAGGTTACGGGTGGAGAGGCTTTATTTTCACACTTTGAAGCCCAGGCCACGCTCTTACTGCAGCAGCATACAAAATGGATGGGCACTACATACTGCCCAGTCATTGTGGGATGCCAGGGTTGTCATTCTCCAAACACAGGCTAACAGCTGAACCTAATCTAACTGGACAAATGCATTTTCCCAGCTTCTTTTGCAGAATCAGGGAGCTGTAATTAAGACTGCATTAGCATTTCCATTATAAAGTCCTACTTTTGAAGCTTCAATCATTTGTATTTAAGACATCCTTACCAAGTAGCAATTTGGCTCACAGGGATGTAAACTTGGAGGAAAAAACAGCTCTTACTACTGAGTTTTAGTGTAAAGGTATCACTTATGTGAAAACCTATGTTGCTGTGTAGACTTAAGGTATAAGAAGACTTATATCATCTTTCTCTATCTTCTTCATGTGCATTACCAACACAAAGTACTGGAGGAAATCTCCCATTAGCTATGGGCAAAGATACTCTGTGATGCTGACATTCATGTGCCCATGGTCATTTACACAACCCTAGATGGGCTGCTAATCCATTCCTTCAACTCCAAACTCCAGCAATTCAAATCCTGTCTTCGAAAGCATCCTTTTTCTCTGCATCCAGTTTAGAATTTGATACAAGGTATTTGCTAGTTGGATTGCTCAGATGTCCTATAGCTGACAAAAAGTAAAGGAATTCTGAATTAAACTGTTCTATACAGTATTTTCAGTAATGTGCTTCCGTATCAATATCCCCCCCTTGAAAAGGCTGATGAAAACAAAAGATTTCTAAGAATATTGACTCAAGCAAGCAAACTGTCATTCTATTAATTTCTCTTATTTCTGCACTATTTCAGTCAGCCTAGAGATTCCAGGAAAGCACAGACACTGAAATAATTCTCTTTTATATTCGTGTGACATAATTAGCTGGAAGGGCCTGCTTTACTGAGGGCCTCTTTAAACCTTGTCCATCTGGTTTCAATTAAATCACCCAAAGAAACAGCAAATTGCTCCTCCAAAATAGCTGTTTCTTACTCTTTACAATATTCAGTTTTAAGTAAATAAATCAGCAGAAGTCACATTGCCTGTATGTCTTAAAGACAATCAGCTATGCTACCTGGTCTGGCCTCAGAACACCAGTAAGTAGATCACCTCAAACCACCACTCTTCTCTAAACACAGCCATCAAGCTCTTTAAATAGCATAGTAAGAGCTGCAATGGGGATTTTGATTCCAATGTATAGGAACTACATCAGGAATGAAGTCACATTTCTTAATAGGACTTTTACTATAGTTTACCGCCAGTATGTGCTGGTTTCTTGGGTATGGAGTGGCAGGCCTGAAGATGCACTGCTACTTGTTTTAAGTGTACTTGGGATTTTGCATGTGTGCTTAAGAACAAATCTAGCCAGACCAAGTATATGTCTCACTCCTCATCAAAGTGGGTATGTGCTATATGGCACAACCAAAGCCAAGCATACACAACATATACCCCCCAAACGTTCACAGGGCAAACTGCAGACTAAATAAGAAACTAAAAGTTATCAATTACTGCAAACTAAACCAGTTAGCAAGCTGAACACACCAAAAGGATGCAGGAACATACACTCAACACTTGAAACTGTCTTGTGAGGTGCTGAGACAGTAACAAACCTTACTTCTTATTCCTTATCCCTGGCTATTGTGTTGTGGCTGCTGATTTACCTGTCGTCCCACAGGTAAATTACCTGATGGGTTTTGGACATCTCCAGCACTGTTCCTGTAACCACCTGTTGGTCGCCGGTTAAGTCTCAGTATTTACACTCAGTACCTCTTCCACAACAGCTTCCCTCATCCCAGGCTCTGTCATTTTCTTCCTCTTAAGTCTGGGGTCTTGAGTCTGTTCAATACCTTTAATTCCATGCTCTGGGCTTGAAGGAAAACTTCAATACATCAGCATTCCCCAGACTTACGGCATCTGTAATATTTTGCTCCTCTTAATAAAATTAGGACAATTCAGAAATACTTTATTTCTGTTTCATCTCCGAAATGGTTTTCTTTCATATAGTTTCATCTATCCAAGACTGAAGTGTTATTTTTTTTTATTTCATTATGTTATCACCTCCCCTTATCACCTTGAAAGTTTCAAATTCTTTGCCTTCCATTTACTAGGCATCTTCACTTATTAAAATGAATTGTACATGTTATTGTGGTTATTCAACAACTTTCCTGAACATCCAATGTAAGCTGATTTCCAAAAGCTGACACAAAACACTGATACAGTTTAAATACTCTCATTAAAGAACAAAACTTATGAAAATCACTTTTTATTAATTTTCAAATATAAACCAAGAATTTCTGCATTTGCATATCCAATGTACATATCTCCCCTGTGGTCAGTCTCAGCATTAACTCTTACAGTATTTTACATCATCATAATGGATTGTTTCTAATCACTGCAACATATTAAAATCAACTTTTGAGAGTTAAAAAGAATGAAACAAAATTAGTGACAAGATGCAATGTTCCACATTCCTTGCAGAGTACTCCAGAGAATACAGCAACTCTGCCGTCTCACAGCCTTACACTTGTTCATGAGTTGCATCCATTCTGCACATTTTATCTTTTTGCAGTTGTTAGCAGCCCTCCCAAAAATATCACCTTGACTCAAGTGTTCATAGTGCCACATGGCTATTCCCACACCCCTAACACAAAGTGGTACCTCTAAGTCAGACTGTGGTACTCTTGCTCATGTCTGATGCTCTCTTTCTGCATAAGCGTGCAGAGACAGTCCTCTGCCTAACAGTAACCCATGGCTTTGTGCCAGACCAAGACTGAAGAGCAAGCACTAATAAGCCAAGCTTTCTGCAACAAACTTAACTGTAGGCCAGGATCTGCTGCCAGCCCAGTTCTCCTCTTCCTTGGGTCATCCAAGTGCCTTTAACTAGTTAACCAGCACTTAAAGTCTATGGAATAATAGACTATAAAGCAATCAAAACCGAAGTCAAAGGCAGAATTTTCTCTTTTACATATATAACATCAAAGAACCTCTTGTACATTTAAGAAGACACAAAGTAACCTGTTCAGTGGTAGACTGAGTAGTAGCTGCTGGAGTCCGTGACAGAAGCACAGCAAAAGAATTACTTCATTTTTAAAATGTGAGCTCTAAGTAAGAGCTGTCAGGTGCAACAATAAATGAAAGCACAGTAGATAGAACCTCAGGTAGGCCAATTATCCACTTCAAACATTACCTCTGCATCACAGTCAGAGCAAGCTGGCCACTAAGTTTCTATACAGTAAGTATGTTACAGGAAGAACTTCAGTTTCACAATTAACCCGCCACAGTATGAATACATTAAGCTCCAACCTAACACTTATGTTATTGTTCTGGTGAGGGTTTTTCTTTTTAATTTTTAAAAATGCTTCTGATCATAAAGATTCACAATCTATTAATCCTTGAAATCTTGCTAATAAATGCAGTCCTGCTTTCAGCCTATAGGGATGATAGCGCCTTCGCAAAGAGCAAAGCTTCAGACAAAACTTCTAAGATTTTTTTTCCCCTCTACAAGCCCTGTCCCGCTAACAAAAACAAATGCAATAGACAGAGCCCTTGAGTAAGTCTGCATTTTTAATACACTGCTTCCTTCTACCTGCAGCAGAAGCTGAAAATGTAGCCTGTAAAATTAGGAAGTGACTATCAACCCGACAGGCTTCAAGGCATAATGAGGCCAACCAGCACTTTTTGACAAGATGCTTTGTTTTGGTCCTTACAGGACCACAAAAAAAAAGCAGCATGCTAGTGGTCAGTTAAAAATGAAACTACTATAATTGCACACTGCCAAAGATGTCTGTGTCTCAGTCGGCATAAAAACACCAGCTTACTCCCTTCATCCAGAACATCCAGACTTCAATTCACAAATCTTGATGGGTATGGCTCTGAGTAAAAGAAGTAGTATATAGTCTTATCAGTATTCCTGTACAATCTGCTACAAGACCTGGTATAGATTCATGTGTGTCCCTCATTTTACAATTACTTAATTTCAGCATTTAAAGAGTCCTCTAATACCAGTTCTAGAATCCCATTTTGTTCCAATGTTTATGTAAAATGGAGTTGTACCAGTTCCGCTTCTGGAAACTGATTTGGTTTTGCTTAACGCACTGCCTTCCACCACCATCACCTTCATCTTCTACTACAGGTTAGAACGAGTCAGCCAGGGAAACTCCTAGAAGAAAGAAACAAAACCAGGATGAAAACTGTATCAGAATGGACAAACAAAAGAGGAATAGGATACAATTATGTACTGACTACCAGCATGTAAAGAGTGCTCAGAAACTGTCTGAAGTTGTCAGGAATGAAAAGAAAGAACGTAAGTTCCCAGAAACACTAATTAAAGACACTATGCTTTTTCTGTGGTTTAAGTGATACCACCTGAGGATGTCAGAGGCTTGCCTACATGAAGTTTGCAGAGAACGAAAGGAGAATATATATACATACCTGTTTCTTTCTGTCGGACTGTGGATCAATCATTACGTTTATAAGAGAAGGTGTCTGCTTGTCAGTCAGGCTTGCTTTCAGAGCATTCTGCAATTCTTCTGGTGTTTTAACAAAGTATCCTTTACCTCCAAAGGCAGACATAATTTCCTCATAGTGTGAATTTGGCAGGAGAGACACAGGAGGCACACTGTAACAAAATGGAAAACCTCTGATTAATAGCAGGGAAGAATTGCCAGACACTAATTTAATTACTTCACACTTTTAAATCAGTGCTAAGATGATTATTGTCCTGGCCTGATGAATTCTTCTGGGCTGGAAGAACTAAGTTTCCTATACCATTAAAGCTATAAGGTAGCATACTGATTTTTATCTTCTGGAGACATTCCAGAGCAAAGCTTTAGCCTAGTTTCCTTGGCAGAGTTCTCAGCTCCAGAAGCAGAAGCCCAATGTAATCTCAGAGTACAAGCCTCAGGCAATTTTGAAGGTTATTATGATTTTGGAGGTTAGCCTGCTATGTGTGGCCTGAACTGCTGCAGGACCCTGAGACAACTAATAGAGAGACATCTCTGTGCTGCACAGTTGTGCAAACAATAGTCTGTGCAAACAATTAGGTTGTTTGCTTACCTTTGGTAACTGGTTCTTACTTACACAAACTTAGCCTACAACTAAGTTCACTTAATGAAAAATTTCAATCTAAATGACAAAGCATTAAAAGTGAAGGGAATGACCATTTTGGCCACTTCTTCCTTAATTAACAGGACATTCTTCAAAGATGCTCACCATGTAGCAGGATCTCCAAACTTTAACACCTCCTTCCAGGCATCTGCACCCAAACCAGTGTAAATCCCATTGTTGTTTATGATGATAATCAGGATTGGCAAGTTGTATCTACAAATAGATGTATTTGGAAGAATTCTGAAATACGTGCACCTTTCTGTAAGGTATTAAAAGTGTTACTTTGCCTTAAAAGGAAAATAAATAATTAAAAAAACCCCCAACATTTCCTCCTGAAACATGATCCACTCATCACTGGTGGTAACACATTATGTCTAAACAGCATAAAATCGACCATGTATATTTTTTGGCTTGTATTCATGGGCTTTTATGAGTACACCATCTAAGACCAGCGTCCTTGGCTACCTAGTTAAATTGATCTTGGCAATACATGAAGAAGGTCTTGAGCAAAAAACAGTTACCTGCAAATAGTCTCCACCTCCATCCCAGAAAATCCAAAAGCACTATCTCCTTCTATGCAGATGACTCGCTTTTCAGGTGTTCGGTCCTTAGCTACCATTGCAGCTGCTATAGCAAACCCCAGTCCAACTCCCATTGTTCCAAAAGTACCTGCATCAAGCCTAAAGGGGACAATACAGAATTATTATCCCTTCATTTCTACTCAGGCTTTTAAACTGATCCATAATGACTTGTCTTTACTTTCAATAATTTTCCATATAGTATTCAAATACTGTTAAATAAACAATTAGTATATAGATACCAGGTGTATAAATTATTATATTCAGTCAAACATTTTATAAGACTGCAAATATTTTAAGTGATATAAACATACAGGAATTCTAATTAAAATTAAGAGCTCTCATACACTGGTTGTACTACAGTAAAGAACTATTATTGTATGCTTTTAGCCTGCATAGTAACAGTATTTCAAAACCATTCAATTACAGTAGAGATAGGCAGACTACATGAAATCTTTCCATATTTAAATCCTCAAAGCAATTGGTTAAATAATGCTGTTCAAATTTTAGTCTTCTGTTCAACTTCTGAAATCAGATTTAAAGCTGTAATTAAGTTAAATCATTTCAGTCAGAAGCACAAAATGGATACAAAAGTACATAAAGAACTAGATTATTCTGGGGTTAACTTTTCAAATTTGCTTTCAGATATGTGCAATGCAATATGAAAAGACAACCATTAACATTACTGTGCCCTTATTTTAAATGGGGGGGGGGGGGGGCGGAATCCAAAATCTTCCCCCAGCTTTACTGGAAGCATGGGGTTTTTTTTTTTGGTTGGCTGGTTATTTTTCTGTTTACAAAGAAATATTTAGGTTCATTTAGGACTTCAGAGCTACTTTCACAAGAAGGCATAAACTTCACAGTCAGTCCAGCAATTTCGCCTCACCAGACAGAGCTCACTTTTCACCCCCATTCAAGAAATGGCATTTAATTCCATCTTACATTAAAACTAGATTACATATAATGATTAAAGTGACATACCAACACTTCCAAATTTGAGTGCCTATATTTTAGGTATGCAGGTTTACATGAAAGTGTGTCCAATATACAATCCAATTTTCAAAATTAGTTGATTCTTCTTATATTTTCCCTAGTTTTAAGTGTGTTTCAAAGAAAGCCTCTTTGTATGAATTCTTTTTAACTTGAGAATCCAACAGTTGTTTTTACTGTAAATCAAAGTTTACTACAGACTCTGAGCACAGAAGAAACATCTAGATCAGGGAATTTAACATGATGCTCCTCACTCACTTTCCACACAAAAGACTGATAAACTATCTGTTGCAGTGCACACAGACAAGTCGTAGAGAATTGTTAAAATCTATGACAGGACATCAGAAAATGAGTGGAAAACTTCCCTTAACCCTCTCCCAACTTACTAAACTTCCCCCCCCCCCTCCATTTAGAACCTTTAAAAAGGATTAAAAAAAAAATCTGGACCATCATACTCCTCACCTAAATGGAAACATTTATACATGGATCTATCCTGTTGCCAGCCAAACAAAGAAAATATCGCACCTTTGACGGGGATAGTAATTTGGAAGCATAGTTCGTCCAATGTCCATGGTGTTTGCTCCCTCACTTACTAAGATGCAGTCCTTGGGTATCAGTTCTCTGATGTGGTGGAAGACTGTGTAATAATTCATAGGCAGGGATTTCTGTAATGCTAATCCCTTAAAAAATAAGAGACATTAGTAACTCCTATGGATAGACTTTATACTATGGTGCAGAACTGAGATGTGTAAATAATAATGATGGAAATAAAAAAGCACCCTGCTAGGTAAGGCTGGAGTATTTGGTTTTCCATGTACTAACATCAAGATTACTCCGCTTCTGTTCCTATCCTGGTGACACAATGTATTTATCAGAGGCTCACTTGGTAACCTTGGATGCCCTATCATTAGCAGGAAGCTATTAAAACTCAGTTTTAACCCTATAGGCGCATTAAATTTTTCTGTATGTATGTTTGACTATTGCTAACCCTAAGTAAGCTGTCATCTGTGAGCTGGGAGGTAGATCAAAAGAGTGATCCTGCTGGAATTTTAGATCCCAATCTCAGAAACATGCATCTGAACTTGAGTTGCATGAAGTTAGGCATATGCCAAGTATCTGTGGAATTGTGGCCTGAATAGTGACTTGCTTTTAATACAAATTATACTTCCACCAGCATTGCTAACCAGCACAATTACAGAAGAAAACTAAGAATGTTTCTTCATGTAAGACAGCTTCCACTTGGACTACTTGGAGCACCTGTCCATTGCTTAGAAGTCATTGCCCATAATACAGCAGCTCTGGCTGTGGTCTTCTACTACTGGCTTTAAAAACCATTCCCAAAGTTCAATGACTTCCACACAGTTTGAATTTATAAAAAAACCTAGAGTACTTAACTTACAGTTAAGTTTTAAGTCTTAACTTACAGCTCATAAGCCTGACAAGAGTAAGCCTGTACCAGAATAATATAAATTTTCAAAGTCTGGGTGACATGACTGTCAGAAGTAATTGAGGAGCTTTGACATAAATCAGTGACAAAACCAACTATGCATTGGTACCTGTTACGGAAAGAAACCTCTTTTCTTTACTATAACATTACCTTTGATCTTTCCTCATTGTTCAACATTTTGTCTCTTAGTCTTTTCCACCACTCTGAATTAGAAGGATATTTCAATGATCTTTTGCTGAATTCTTCCAGGAGCTGAAACAACATTGAAATGTTGCAGACATTTCTTTCAGCATACTTGAAAAATAACAAACCGTCATAAGCATCAAGAATAACATTACCCAGACAGATCCCAGCACAACCACAGTAACACTAATCAGAATCTTCTAACATTTAATATGTTGCCTGAAAAATGGTTTTCCTTGACCATTCTTTTTCCTTCTTTTTCTCCAGTAACTTTATATAAAGCAGAAGAAATTAAGTTCAAAACAGGAGGATACCTGATATTACATTACCTGTCCAGTCACAGCGTTTATGTCACCTAATAAAGTTGCAGCTGGTCTCACATTATTCCCCAGCTCTTCTGAACAAATATCAATCTATATTTCAAAAAGAAATACTACCATTAACTCAAGGATATTAAAGATTTTTTTTTTTAAATTCCAGTAAAAAACATGGTCTAACAATGTCTTCATACCTAGTTTTGGCTACACAACTAACTCCCTCTGCCTTTCATTGAAATAACATCAATGAAATTGATTTGAAAATTACTTTAAAGTAAAATCCTATGGCACATATCCATTTCAATAAAAGTTCATATATATCCTCTAAACTGACTGCTTGCTTCTTACAAGCTCTTGCCGACAGTACAGAACTTTGAATATTAAGGGGAACGTGGTGGTGAATGCAGTGATAATTATATAGGAACTACAAATCTAGGCTTTAGCATACCCTTAAAGCAGCAATTTTCTTACTGAGAGAAGTCTGTGCGCTACGTGGCAATAAGAATTTGGATAGTATGAAGAAACTGAAAAGTAGACTGTGACCACTGAAGCAACTTCCCCATTTTCTTTATCAGTGATATAGGAGACCTCTTAGGGTACATGGAATACTAACTTATGACCAGGTCATACAGGCTATGAAATGAAATAGTATTTTAAAACTAACCCTTGACAGTGAAAAAATTTACTTTAAATGGGATGAAATAATATTACTATTTTTATTTCCTTTCTTTAGAAAAAGGAAGCATAAAAGAATATATTCTTTCATAAGACAAAAGGAATTCTAGCTTAAAAAAATTACATTATTCCCCTGGAAAAGATGCAAAGTTTGGAACCTGAGATTATGTTCCAGATCTCTGAAGGCAGGCCAGTCAGAACACTCAATCAACTACTGTTTGTTGATCACAGACTCTAAGGGAGGAGATTTTAAGGACATAAACAATTTAATGACTTGACTTCCTAAAAGCTGGCAGATTGCCAAATACATTAATTAGTTAAATAGCCTTTCTTCCTCTTATTAACGTTTCTGATTGACTTAACTCTTGTAATGACTGACTCTGGATATGAAAGTAATTCTATTTCAAAAAATCCAGCCGGCAGAGCAGTCAAACAGTTTGGAAGATGTCACACTTTCAACACATTTTGCT